GGCGTACAACATCACAGCTTGACTGCAGCTTCTGTTTTCTTCCGAGTTACACCAGTACATGGAGAATAACAACACTTCCTATTGTATTTGGGTAGCAAGATACAGGTAGTGTAACAGCTAGCTGTAAAAGATTTATTAGAGAGGAGATAATTGGATCCCATTCTACACGCTTAACAACACCCCAGCAGTGCAGACAACGGACAGCAACCTCCAAGGGCTGGCTGAAGGAATAACAGGAATACAGATGACTAGAAGAAGAACATCATCTTTGGGTGTCCTGTAATTACAGCCCCTGGCAAAGAACTGCATGCAAGTAATTTCTTTTGCTGGAAATCACAAAGGTATACAGACAAAGAGAGTATCACCAGGGTACTATACAGAGTGTCCAAGGACCACATATGTCAGTTCCAGGCACTGGACTCAGTCACTTTTTTCTCAAGCATTGGTCTTGGTTGATTTTATATCCCAGCAAAAATTATCTGGTACTCTACATGCCTCTGTGATGCATTATGTAAAGAAATGAAAGCTTTATACTTCTAAAGGCACAAATCAGACAGAAATAGAGACAGTTATTAAGATATATTTAAGTCTTGTTTTTACTAGATTGAATAACACACGTGACAATATACCTGCCTTGATAGGCATGGAGAAATATCATTAAAAATAAGGAAAACTTGCATTAGAAGTGGACTAAATTGACAGAAAGTTATATAATTATGTCAGCCTGAAAGACTGAAAAAGGACAGCTCATCTTTAGGTCTAAGATGATGATTAGACACCAAGGGAGACCAGGCATTCCAAAATTTTGTGGCTGTGGAAACAGCCCTGGTATTTTCACCCAGTGAGACTGCTTCCCTGACAGCATCACTGTCTTGCATGCTGCTGGGCAGATAAAAGTGTTTCTAGGAGTTAAGTGTCTGTCTGCTCAGCTGGCATAGTCCGATCTGATTGTATGACTGAGGAGTACTTCTACAATCAGTAATCTGTACAAGTCTCCTAATGGCTTAAATAGCAAAAAACGATACAGTGGTGACTTTCGGTACACTGGGAAAACATTTGTGAAATTTTGTCAGTTACCTCAGCATCTCTGAGGGAATTAACCTGAGCAGATTAAAAGGACAGAAGGTGTTCCCATTATTGCAGTAAAAGAAATCTCAAAACCTTCACTAACAACCTTCCCTATTTCCACTCACATACTGCAGCCCACACTCCTACCATTCCTCCTCAGCTGCCAACTTTCCTAGCCTGTGACTTCTTCAATACACTTAAAAATGCTATTTCAAAAGGCAGGGAAAATAATATATATACATATGATAGCTTTTTTTCATGCAAACAAACTTCCCTCCCTCAGTAAGATTTAGTACTTCTTCAGAACTTTCATCCCTCTTCTTTCCTTTGTGCCTTTACGTTCCTTCATTACTTCTGGAGGTAACAACTATATAGTGAGGTAACTCAAGAGCAACATCTAAATACTGCCCCATAGGCTACCCTCAATGTTTCTTAAAGCAAGATATTTTACTTATTTCAAATATTAGCAACAATTTTCCAAGAAAGGTGCAAAAACTTACATTTGGCCCACCTCCATGCATCTTCAAAGCCCTCACTGTAGCAACAAGTACAACCACACTGGGAACCAAGCCAGAGGCTCTGCATTTGATGTTGAAGAATTTCTCCATCCCAATGTCAGCACCAAAGCCAGCTTCAGTTACTGTTAAACATTAAAAAAACAAAACCAAACCACACATAAAACATGCTTTCGGTTAAACACTGGGGGATATTTCTGCTTTAGCATACAGTGCACTTAAATATAAACCAGTACTCAATTTTGAATGAACTTTCAAACAGAGGTCTATTTACATTACTGAGTCTGATTAAAAAACTATTCCCAAATCAGAAATAAATCCTCTTATTCTTGATACGTACAATATGTCATCAAAAGTAGTCACATGGGGGGAAAACCCCCCAAGCAATCAAATTAGTTTGAATTAAAGCCTTTTAAAAACATCTAGTCCTCTAAAATAGCTGTTTCTATGTAGCTATATTTATTCTAAATGCTTGCAAATTCTTACAATTATAAGACTTCCCTACATTATTCCTCCAACTAATGGACCTAAAGTCTCCTAGGTTTGTAGAACTCCTGGTCATCTCTTGTTTTTGCGGAGAGGATGTTTAATTATAAACGCAAATCAGCAGTTACAGTCTTGTCTCAGTGTTGAAGATACTATTGAACTCTATAACAGAATTTTGCACCAAAGAAGTCAGGCATTAGTGTAACATGACTCAGGAGAAAAATCTGTGCAGAATTAGGATATGCCTGGCAAAGTATTTTTAGCAGAGCTACAAATAAAAAGAAGATAAATTGTATTAAATGATGTCAGTCTCTTTAGAGCTAATTTGCTCTGATTTGTTAAATACCAATTATTTCAACTGCCTCTTTTAAAATCCAAATAATTTGTTTTTATTAGACAAACACAAGCATGCAACAACTAAAAAATTCAAGTGATTAAATCTCCTGTTGGTTGGAAATTTGCCGATGTAACTATTTCCCACCAGAACACACTGAAGAGTTGAGTTCAATGAATGTCTCTGGAAGATGTGAAAGGACTTTCAGCCAAACAAGTCAGCGGGGAAAATAGCTTGCTCCAGAGGCTCCTGGACCTGACTTGAAGCAGGGCTGGTAACGTGTCCTTGTAATCCCAATCAGCTTGCAAAAACTACTAAATTCCCTTTTCTTTCTCTCCCTCTTGCCAGCAATTTTGACCCTCATGCTTAGGAGGGGACCACAAACAGCTGATTGAACATTTAGGGGCTGGAAACCTTCAACAGGGTCAAGGAGGAGGAAGGAGGTACAGATCTGCTCTGCTGCTGTGGGAGAAAGTATCTTTCTGTTGGCAGTCGATGTGCTTTAGGAAGTCCCAGCCTTTGTGCATTTGTCCTCACCCCACTGCTCCTTTTCCACCTCTTCTTCGTTTTGCACAGGCTGAAACAATTGCCTGCACGGCTCTGCTCAGAGGGAGGAAACGGCTGCTGGGGCTGGGGCAGGAAGCAAGAGCTAGCAAACAAGGGGGTGGGCATGTGGGGGGAGCAGGGACCTCTTGAAATAGCAACATGGCAAGTGTCATAATTAACATTCTCCAAAATAATTGCAATAAGTATATTATCTTTTTCTGAATAGCCCTGAGAAAAACAGACATACCAAACATGGTAATTAAAAAAAAAGTAAAAAAGAAGAGGTTTACACAAACAGAGTAATTCACAGGAACAAAGCAAAAAAAAAAAAGAAAAAAAGAAGAGGTTTACAGAAACAGAGTAATTCACAGGAACAAAGCAAATGTCAGGGTAAGTCATATTAAAAGCAGAGGGAGGGGGTCACATGTCTGCTTTCCAGTAACCCTCATTCTTCTTCTCCAGTCTCTTACGTGGCACTGTGTGATTAATGAGAACTCTGAGTTAGGAATATATAACCACGATCAATCTTTAATATAAACAACAGATAAACTACCAAGTGCTTGAGAGGGTGGGAAAATAATTTGTCTCTTACAGGGATTGCCAGCGCATACACATAGCAGTCTCCTAACGTTTCCAAACAAAGTTTCCAGGGAGTTAATCCTTTTCATGCCAAACCTTTTTTCAAGGGTCAGTTTTCCTTACAGAAACGGGGATTGCAAGTGTACCTTTCAGCTAGAGAAAAGCAGAGATGTCAGCTTTCCAGTGAGCACAGCAACTGATCACACAGCATGTCAGGGCTCTCGGGGAGGTGCTAGCCACCCTTCAGGCTTTCTAAGCAGCCAGGGCAAACGCGCAGGAAAGCTGTGGGGGACGCTTATCTGGGTAGGGGTGCATATTTCTCTATTCTTTGTAATGCTTTCCTCAGATATGCAGGGCAATATGCGCATTTGTCTCAACAACCCAAATCCTATATGGACATCTGAAAAGCTAACAGGACACTGGTGTTCACCGCAGTTAGTGCTACAACATGGAGAGTGGGATTTCTTCATTTGAAGCGGAGGAAAGGGAGAGGAATGTCAGTGCTTTCTCCAGTGTGTGGAAGGAAACAGGACGTAGTAGAAAAGCTGCCTGGATTAAAGTTGCAGCTCCATTTTATTTCCTCCAAGGAATAGTGAGAAGATAGAGCAATATGCCAAGCTATTATACTTTAAAATCTTTGAGCTGAAACACTTAGTACAATTACTTTCGGATTGTTTCCTGATTTCAAATGAAAGCCTTAGTGAAAAACAAATACAGACTATGAATGGGAAGTTTCAAACTAGTCTACATTTAGAGATTACGAGATAAAACAGCTAATCACTTTAAACAGAACAAGAGAAACTTAAAGTAATACATATGTTCATTTATTTCAGTTATTCAGGCAATTACAGATTACAGGTGAAGTGATGAAGATTTTTGAGGAACAAACATCTACTTAAGTGGATGTGGTCTACTGTAACTCCACTGAAAGTTTAAGACACAGCTACTACTACTTGCTTGCACAGAGTCTTTAATCAGCTCCAGCTCAGCTCCCTGAAAGCCTGTTTATCACAGAACGATTTAGGTTGGAAGGCACCTTCAAAGATCATCTAGTCCACCTCTCCTGCCATGGGCAGGGACACCTCCCACTAGACCAGGTTGCTCAAAGCCTCATCCAGCCTGGCCTTGAACACCTCCAGGGATGGGGCATCCACAGCTTCTCTGGGCAACCTGGGCCACTGCCTCACAACCATCACAGTGAAAAATTTCTTCCTCATATCTAATGTAGATCTACCCTCTTCCAACTTAGAACCGTTACCCCTCATCCTGTCACTCCACTCCCTGATAAAGAGTCCCTCCCCATCTCGCCTGTAGCCCCCTGTCAGTACTGGAAGGCTGCTAGAAGGTGTCCCCGGAGCCTTCTCTTCTCCAGGCTGAACAACCCCAACTCTCTCACCTTGTCCTAGTACAGTATGTGCTCCAGCCCTCTGACCATCTTTGTGGCCCTCCTCTGGCCTCACTCCAACAGGTCCATGTCCTTGTCCTTCCTGTGCTGAGGACTACAGAGCTGGATGCAGGACTCCAGGTGGGGTCTCACAAGAGCAGAGTAGAGGGGGAGAATCACCTCTCTCGAGCTGCTGGTCACACTTCTTTTTGATGCAGCCCAGGACACGGTTGTCTTTCTGGGCTGCAAGCGCATGTTGCTGGGTCATATTAAGCTTGTCCCCTGCCAAGCAGCCATTTCCCAGCCCCATGAACCACTGCTACATGGGCTGCTGCCCTGCAAGCACGTAGGGGTTTTGTAATAGACGTGAAGATGCTGGCATAATGTTAACTGCCTGGTTTGATTTCTAAGACACAAAGCAGTTCTAATGAAAATAACGAGGTAAACGATTTGCCTTCAGTGAGCTCATAGAAAACATACAGGTATTTGCACTTCCAGCCAGAGAACACAACCCCCTGGCAACATATACCAACCCAGATCAAGGATTTTACAATCCCAGGACTTACTTTGCATTCCAGATCCCCTTCTTGCAATGATAAGACTGGACAATGATCCAGACACATATTAAAAATTATTTTCTGGGTGTAATTTTCAGTGAGTACAGCTCGCTGGATTGTCTCCCTGCATGGTCATATATAGTGCAAAACCTAATTCTACAAATACTCTGTTGTTTGATCTTATGCTTCAATTTTATAGCACAAGTAAGGTCTATGAATAAGGGCTCCATAAGGAACATCAGAATGAAGATTAAAAATTAAAATTTCATGTATCAGCAGTGCGCTATCTTTACATTACTTTTAATAGTGGGCCATAGGTCAGATCTAGCAATTAATATACAAATATATATAAGAAGTAACCCACATCAAAATGCTCCAGTAAGTTCAAATAATTTATTCACATAAAAGATCACGTGAGGGTGACCAAAAGATACGCTCATTCTAACACATCAGGGTAAGTGGGGAATCTTGTTTCAAAACAGCAGTAGGCAAAACACAACACACCATTACTACAGGTTTTTCTACAGGTCATTTACATAACATCTACTTCACTCAGCTCAGCTACCAAAATAACCAATAAACCATGGTTTTTGTTTAGAGTAAGAAACTAAAATATCTAAACTAGGTACAAAAGGGGGAGGAAAAGCTCATAAACATGGAATTAGGCAATAGCAATAATGAGAAGTCTGCCAGGTGGTGTAAGGTCAGAACAATCGATACTCTTCACTGAAGCCTCTAATTCCACTTTAGGGTTCAGGCAAATGAGCAAATCACTCTGAAGGTTTTGTTTATAATTACCATCACCTCTTCATGGAAATCCTGCCTTGCCAAGCACATCTGGGAATATTTTATCATGTACACATGACAATAGCTTAAATAGACACTGCCATGGTTTAAGCAGCTAATCAGATTTCATCGTCATGCTTAATACAAAATGCAATTTTTCTCCGCCTAGAAATACATCTATCATGCTATAGCTACCTAAAGTGGTTCCACATTAGCCCCACATTTACATTCTGCTTAAAAGCCTTACAGAAAGTGATGTTTAGAATTTTTTTAAAAAGATATTTCACCCACAAATGAACTTCACGTAAACTGAGGGTAATTTCTAGTGAAAGTAGCTTCTCCCTAGTCAGCCCTTTCTATCAACAAATCAATGTCAAAATAAAACATTTGTACTATAAAGGGCCAAGTCAGAAGCACACATATGAGGCAAAGCTTTAGGACACAAGTTGTGAT